CATTCAGCTCCTGTTTTTGTTGCTCGTCAGTGCACTGGATAATCTTTTGTTTCACTGTCCTTCTCTCTTCTATTAGTTTCCAAGTGTCCGTAGTGAGCCACTGTTTGTCCTGTCTCTTTTTTCTGACTAGAACTTCTATGCAGGTTTGACTCCACACCGTTTTCAAGTTGTCCCAGTGCTTCTCGACGCTGACCTTTTCGCTGGTGTTGATTTGTGTCTTGGCTTTTTCCATTATGCTTGCAATGAAGATGTCCTTTGTAGCCTGGTCCTTCAGCTTTTGAGTGTTGAACTTGGCTTGTGGTCTATCTGCAGCTCCTGTTTCCCTGAAAGCTTTTAATTTGATTTGGATTGTCCCTTGTACGAGATAGTGGTCTGAGCCAACGTCTGCTCCTCTTCTTGCTTTTGTGTCCAGTAGGCTGTGCCTCTACTTCCTTGAGATTGAGATGAAGTCAATTTGGTTTTTGGTTTGCCCATCTGGTGACACCCATGTAACCTTGTGGATATCTTTGTATTTGTATACGCTGCCACTAATCACTAGTCCAGTGAAGGCACAGAAGTCGGCGAAGAGTTCTCCATTTTCATTCATTTCTCCGAGAGCTTCTCTACCCATGATGAGTTCCCTTCCTGTGTTGTCTGGTCCCAGTTTGGCGTTCATGTCTCCCATTAGTATTTTAATGTCGCCAGCTGGAGTATTGTCCACTGTTGCCTGTAGTTGCCTGTAGAATTCTTCTTTCTTTTTGAGGTCTGCGTTGTTTGTGGGTGCATAACATTGTATGATTGACACTTTCCTCCCTTTGGAGTTGAACCTGGCGGTCATTATCCTGGAGGAGATCGCCCCCCATTGCATCAGGGCTTTCGTTGCCGTTGGTGACATCATGATAGCCACGCCCTCGGTGTGCGTATGGTTATCTTCTGGGTGACCGGAGTAGATCACTGACTCACCCGTTGACAATTTGGTGAGTCCACTCCCATTCCATCTGCTTTCACATATTCCCAGTACTTGTATTCCGTATCTTTTCATCTCGTTGGCGATCTGGGCAGCTTTCCCAGTCTCGTACATAGTTCGGACGTTCCATGTTCCCACACAGACTTTTTCTTTTGGTGCAAAGTGGTTCATCGTACTGAAGTTTCTGTAGCAATTTTGTTTACAGGGTGGGGTCGCTAGCCTCACGCCTGAGAAAGGAATGATTACATTAAGATAAAGTTTAGAGAAAAGCGACTTTTTGGGTTGCTCCCCTTAAAACTGGAAAATAACGGACAAAACAATGAGAACAACACCAACAAAGGGAAACAGTTCACAGAAAAAAGGGAAAAAAGCGACAACAACGATACAATACAACAACATGCATTATAGTTCAGCACAGTTAAATAAAATGATATCTCAACCATAAACTTACTGACTTGGAGCAACTTGAACATGTAAATCCAACAATACATAAAATTATAGGTGTGTTTATGTTTAAAAATTCCACGAATCCAAATAGTTAGTTACATATGTTATCTGTCAATAAGATTGTATTTTTGGTTTCAGTGTTCGAAAGGCAGATAATTGTGATAGTTTCCACAAACTCTTGGCATAAAATTTTACAGAAACGAGAGTTTTTATTAATAGGGAGAATGTCAAAGTGATTAAACGTACGGATAAATTCTTTGTCTTAGACAAAAAGGGCCGCGAGGACACCGTCAGCATTGACCGCCTGAAACCGGCTTACTTGGAAGGTAATCCTACTAGCATAGAGCTAAGCGTACCCCATAATCCACAAGTAATCGAATATCCTTTAGACCTCGAAGACGTCACCAGCACGGCGAAAGCTACCAAATCTTCTGTCAAGCCCTCGAAGAAAACCCGTTCTGGGAGTATCGTTGTGGTGAGAGCAGGCTTCTAGCCAATCGGTAGACATCAATCTACGTCAATGTCTAGGTCACCAATATTGTCTGTGAGAAAATATGAACAAGGCTGATTCAACAACCAATCACAGCAAACTTAACGTGGGCAAATATGATTCGCAGATAGATGGCTCCATTTTCCGAGGTTACCCGAAACAACCAGTCAGAAAACTGCGTTTGCCTGCTTAACTTCCGAGAATCAACCAATCAGAAGACTATGTTTGTCTACTTGAATAAGCTATAATAATGTACATGAAATATATAAATACGTGCTGATTTCCGTAATAAAACGATCTGTTGCCGGCCCTTGTCTTCTGTTGTTACACCGTAAGATTTCCAGAATATCTTCACACATATATAACATAACTAGGTGGTGCTATTCACCCAACTCGTTTGTTTGTGATATTAATTATTTTTGTTTCCTTTCAGACATCAATTTTTTGATATAGCATCACTAAACCTAAGTAAAACAATTTTCTCTATAACTGTACAGGCACTGGACAAGAAACAAACGAAGCACGGGATGCAACGAACAACATTAAGGAAGCGATGTACAAACACCCTATTAGCATTGGCAGACAGACCAGTAGGCATGCCACCAAGCCGCTCGGAAGATTTTTTCACCCAAAAATGAACCATCGAATTTTTTACTTCTGGCTGGTTCTGTCTTAGGGTCTTCACAACCCCACTAGGGGGAGTGAGTTGTAGCGGTAAATAATTCCCCAAAATTATTGGCCATGGGAATACATTATGTCTAAGAGAAGAGTTACATCGTGACCATAGGAACCATCGGTGAACATTGGATGCTGACCATTAGAGTTTAAGTCGACTTGTTTAACTGAAGGCTTCCCGCCAAGCATCCCCGCCATTTGGTACTCTGTTGTATCACTTCCATGAACGATAACTAGCTAACTTAGCTTCCGCTTCAATCCGTGATTTGGTTCCGAAATACATCTCGTAATTTGGACGATCAATTGCGGTGTTTTGCTTTGCCTTTGGTACACGGGAAACAAATGGGATAGAAGTTTTCGGTATAAGATCTTGCGTTGATATACTCAGTACTGTTCGCGAACGTCTATACCGTCAACCTTTAAAAATATGTTGGAGCCTCTAGAGTTATCTCTGAACTGTCCACTACCACTATCAACAGTATCACATATGCTTTTAGAAAACATAGATGTTCGCTCAGATCGTCAGCATAATATGAACTTTGATTTCAGTCATCTTGAGGCGAGGAACTTTCAGTACCTACTAGCACTGTCACCAACATCAGGATGCCTCAATCACTTGGCCTATCATTATAAAGCATAATCTATGTGTCTCCGGACAGGTTCCAACTCAACAAGCCACTTTCGGCACACTAATTATCCCTAACTTCAGATATACTATCAACTACATAAAGTAAATTATAAATAACACCCCAAATCGCCTCGTCATCTCCTTTTGCCAGACATTGTGCATATTCACTAGAATGCGAATTAGAAAGGCGTGTTCCAAAAAGAGAAGATTGTTGACGGCTGATGGAGCTAACGGAGGCATCAATAACGTCTTAATGGACGAAAGGTTCCACGGGATCAGGGTAGACACTAACGGTGGTTTCTCAGGAAACAAATGGAAAGCAAGCAAGGCAGATCCATGTGTGCTCAGAACTGGTTGTTTCAAGTGAAGTTACTATTTGCGTTGTCAGCACGTGCAATATCCCCACTTAGTTTCGAAATACCTTAAGTTATGTTGACTTTTCCATAAGCTCAAACGAAATTCGACGAATGCATTCACTGTCTTCATAATAGTATATTTACCTGCAATTAGACACCCACCACTGTTTAAAAGAAAAGACAAAATTGGAGCACTTTTCCAGTTCATCTCTGTGTGAATAGTGAGTTCAAATATCATCCTCAATGTTCAAAGAAATGTGGTTAATTCCTTGAAAGACCTTCCTTCTCCCCATTACACTTCTGTTACCCATTAAAACTAGCTGTGTGGCATTTCATAATAATTTTGCCAGATTCCTGTTTATGGACGTCGTTGGAGACCTAGTGATCCTTGTGTTAACCTTCCCAACAACCCAGTGAGCTTCCAGTGCTTTTCGGAAGCTTTCCTTCATATAGTCATGGCAAATCTCATGGATCTTCCTTTCTTTCTATGAGAACTGCCATATATAACACGCGGGTTCTCAGTTGGCAATAAAGGGGCAATCATACGATTAGAAAACAGCCTTGAGTAGACAACAACAGCTCTTATCTTTTGTACTCAAACAAAAGACCAGTGTCTCTAATTTGTTTACCCCAGAGAGATAGGCGAAAATTCTAATGAAAAAGTGATTGGAGTTTTAGGAGCCACTAGTGGTACTGATAACTGGGAAATATCGATCAGTTAATAAATATCAACATAGTTTGAAAATCTACAAATAACTTGGCTAGTAAATGCTCCAGCATATTTATTTATTGCGACTTGCGTTCTGGCTGTTTGGAGTTCGATGATCACTTTTCCAAAGAAAGCAGTCCCTTCAGGGTCCAAGACAACGAAAATAATAAACTATTAAACCTTATAACGAAGGATTTCAATAAAGACATTGATAGTGACTTTCTTTCTAGTGTTTTGTTTAATTTTGGAAAAAATCTGTCCATGTGCATAATAATCGGAATCATGTGACAAGACTAGTCTTCAACTTCCATCGATAAACAAATATTTTCTTGGAAGCTATTTGGTGCGTCGGTGGCACAGTGGCTAGGACTCTAGCCGAGCATGCACATGGGCCGTCGTTCGACCCCCTGCCGATCCACACCTGATATCTATAGTCGGCCTGCAAAATTTGGGCTACCGATATCCATGCTGAAAATTTCATACTTGTACCAGCAATACAGGGTGGAATCAAACTGCAATCAAAAAAGTAAGCAACAGTTCTAAATATGCGAAATTCGGTATAGCTTAGTCTCAGCTCGCAACTGACAGTAACAGGTATGTGCTTTAAAAAATAAAAATCGCCGAATATATCTTTATTTTGAATAAATATTGGCCAGACCTAAGTGAAATCTTCGAATTTTGCATAATATGTAGCGTGAGCAAATGTTGCTTTATTTACATAACCTTCGGATTATTCAAGGTGTCCTTGTATGGCGGTCTCTGTTGGATATAGCCCCAGACGAAAAATGCTTGATGCAGATTCTCTTTTTGAGAGACTGGTATGGAATATATTCTTCTTTCTAATGTTCTTATTGGTTAGCTTCGTGAGGCTGCCAACTTAGTTCCAAAAATGAGTACTCCGAAACTAACGTATGCACTTAAAGTAACTTCTTCGCTGCAGCAAAAAATAACAGATACAGTTGCATCAAGGTAATTCAAATGTTTTCAGTAACTGGCCACATAGGTTACCTCAGGAAAAGACTAATGAACAGTTAAGCGATTCCAGTCGACAGCAAATTCATTTGGAAAATGTATTTTCTCAAGGTGTACTCCATGAAACATCATTAATAACATCAGATTCTGACCAGGTTTGTTTAAGAAAAGTATTAGTTCCTAATTTAATCCAATGAAAATTTTTATGAAGTATTTTTCAACTAATAATGTGTCACAAAATGTTTATCAAAATTTTTGGAATATAATTTACTTGTTCTTACTACACTAACATACATCTTTACCATAATCGCGGATTATTTCTTTTAAAAATGTTGCATACATAAATCAGTTCAAAGCTGTAGTTGTCGAAGGTTGAATCTTAGTGTGGTGTCGAGATCCGTCTGTCTTCCTTTAAGAAGTTAATATGAGTGTTTCATGACAAATCACTTTGGAAGATGGAAGTATTTACCTGTTGGACGTTAGACAAATTTTAGTGTTGTAATACTGTAGGTATTCATGGGTAATTGTATTCGTTTCCTTATCTTCCACAGATAAAGGCTTTTAGGCAGGTTCTAGAGTATTTCTCCATACCCTGTACTTGAGACACCGAGTGATTTATTGAATTTTAGTGTAGCCTATTATTTTCACAACCACGTAAAATTAGGGCGCCATTATGGTATAGCATTAATGGGAAAGGAAAGATCCCCAGTAGTTCATTGTCCTGTCTGATTGATGTTCGCTGAATACAATGTTGCAGGTATATGGAAGTTTTTAATGCTCTGTGTTTTTCCCGGCTGCATTCTGCCAAAGTTGACAAACTAACATATCTAAAATACGAAACTGTAGTCTGGATACAAGTTAAAATGTATAATATTGCTGATAATTTCTTGGTTGTAGAACTTCACGTATGTTACGGTTTGTTTTGCAATTTTCTGACCCCATTCTAGCTACTAACTACAAAACATACGGACACTTTCTAATAATGGTAATTATAGTTTTACTTAGTCTATAGCTAAACATAAAGTAATCACTACTTAAACTGATTAAAAATGCCCATTGAAATTTTCAAAAGAATGGTTACTGAACAAAGGATATTCTTTTCAATAGGTTCATCACCAGGTTCCACAGTTGTGTACATAGTAGTGAATAAATTAGTCTTATTAGCAACATTAATGTTTAAATAATATCGAATCAATAATAATATCAATGGATTACAGTTCGATAGCATTAACATAACAATACACCAAATATCAGAAAAATTTGAAAGATATTAATACCAATTCATGAATTTATAGTCTACATTGAAGGCAGGGGCAGTAGTAGTGGCTGGAAATGATTACTCTGCACACAGAGCACCCGTTGTTTAGAGCGAATCGCAATAGTCTTCTGAAGTCAATACGGATACAGCAGCAAAGTTCATGATCGGCTGACATGTTACCTAACCCTTTTTCGAATTGGTGTTATTTCAGCTAAGTGTTCGTTGAGGAAGGTCGCGACTTAGCATATCTTTCCACGTGTTACATTTCCTGTGGTGGTTTAACAGGTAGAAATTGGGAGCGTTTTGTACGTCACTTATATCAATCTCGATGTGAGTAGTAGCTCAGTGTGAGTATTTTTACCGATATATTTGCATGATTGATGCTTTTATGCAGCAGCGAGTAAATCTATAGAATCTCACGGTTCACTGAGTGGTTTTGTGACAAAATTTAGCTTAATGCCATGCAACATATGTTGCACAGGTTATTTCATAAAGTAGGTCATTGATGCCACACCTCAACAGGGGCTGCTAATGAAGTTATCAGTCTGGTAGGACTGATGTGACTGACCAAAAATAAGGACACACTGATTTCTAAAAATTTCGCTTTCAGTAGGCAATGGCAGTCACGTATTTACTCATTTCTTACCTTAAAATTATTAGGTTCTTACTGATTTATCTCCCTTCAAGTGATGAAATCTGGATGGATTGTTTAGTGTTAGGCCAACAATGAGGAGTTAACTGAAAAGGGATGCAATTTCCCGCTTTTTTCCGAATAACACATAGTAAGACTTCGCATTTATTGTAGCTACTTTGCTGTTATCTAGTCTTCTGTACTTCTCATATTGTGGGCTACTATTTGTCCATACACAACTTTACCACTGTAAGTGAAAATGATAGTGACACTGTTGCTTCGTACTTAAAAAACTACTGTCACTATATTATTTTAATTCATTTACTTATTCGTCTCGCTAATTACTAATTTGACGACATAATATGTGAAGTATCACTGTTACCACTGTACCATATGCCTTGGTAATTCAATTAAGTTTATGTGTCAAACTGAAAGCTCCTTTGTTTCTAAGCGTTTGGTAAAATTAGTTTCATTGTTTTTTCAGAGACGTGTTTATATCTACACATTTTTTTAGTGTCTAGAGGATGATGGATGTTATACCTTAAGCTCTGCAAGTCAATTCATTTTCTAGTTATCGGCATGACATATATACAGATATCTCATTTAATAGGACTTCATTCATTTGACTCGCCTGTCAATGCATTAATTCACTTTAAACTATAGTGGGTGGTCACGGATTAAAAGTGAATCTATGGCTACGGCGAAGTTTCCGAATATTACAATTTATCCACCATGTACACTCACAGCTAGTTAGTGTAATTTCCTCTATTGGTCCATAAACCATGCATACTTTGGAGATATGAAGTACATAATTCAAAACATACAAACAATAAAAATTTGTGATTAGATATAACCTCAATTAATTGGGGTTATTCTAGAAGATGAACGGTGAATGCGAATAAAGTGACTTACATATCTAGTTTGTCACTCTTCAAAATGTAATATAATACTGCTAACAATGAAAGTGGATTTATTTATTTCCGAACATCACCGACTCCTGGATTAAAAATAGGAAGCGAAGTGGTAGAGCACGTTGACCGCTTCACTTATTTGGGAAGTACCATCAGCCAGTGCCAACGAGTTGATCTCTGACGAAATCTCAGCACGAATACAGGGGGCCCGTTTCGCATTTACCAATTTACGCCGACTCTGGCGTAGACGAGATATCCGACTATCGACCAAAGGGCGTGTGTACTGCTCATCAGTCCGCTCCGTCCTCCTTTATGGCCAGCTGTGAGACCTAGCCATCGAGAGTGGAAAACATGAAAAGATTAGCTGTCTTTGATCATAAGTGCCTGCGTTCTATTTCCCGTGTGAAGTGGCATAATAAGGTGAGCAACATTGAGGTTAGGCGTAGAGTTCTAGGTAAACAGGGGAAATCAATCGACGAGGTTGTGAAGTTACATAGACTGAGATGGTTAGGACATGTGTTACGTATGTTTAGTCATCGCCTTCCTCCACAATGAGCAATGTTAGCTGACGTAAGTTTGGTCAGGCTGGAAAAGAGCTAACGCTGGTCAAACCAGAACGTGGCACCTGTCAATGAAATCTACAACAGTTAGTCTAAGCCACGTAGGAAGGTGTAGACTTCCTGGTTGGGGTCTCTGTCTGTCTATCTGTTTTCGACATAGAACTTTGCACAAATGTGCGGAAGTTCAAGTCGCCACACTCCCTCCATGTAGCACACAAAGCAAGAGAAGAAAGTACAAGAAAAGCATAATCAAAACAGTGAGCAGAGGTGTGAGACAAAGGAGTAGTAGTAACGAAGAACAAAACAGTTTCATTGGAAATCATAAGTCACAAGGAGTGGATGGATCCGCACCAGCCATTGAGAACGATTTTGAGCTATGTCACCAATTGTTTCTAACCATTGGCTTTTACCGTCCCGAGGACCCCAACCAGGAAGTCTACACCTTCCTACATGGCTTAGACTAACTGTTGTGGATTTCATTGACTGGTGCAAAGTTTTTGTTTGACTGCCGCTAGCTTTTTTCCAGCCTGACCCTATATCCGCTAACATTGCTCGTCGAGGAAGGCGATGGCTAGACATACGTAACACATGTCCTAACCATCTCATTCTATGTAGCTTCACAACCTCGTCGATTGATTTCCCCTGTTTACCTAGAACTCTACGCCTAACCTCCATGTTGCTCACCTTATTATGCCACTTTACACGGGAAATAGAACGCAGGCACTTATGATCAAAGACAGCTAATCTTTTCATGTTTTCCACTCTCGATGGCTAGGTCTCACAGCTGGCCATAAAGGAGGACGGAGCGGACTGATGAGCAGTACACACGCCCTTTGGTCGATAGTCGGATATCTCGTCTACGCCAGAGTCGGCGTAAATTGGTAAATGCGAAACGGGCCCCCTGTATTCGTGCTGAGATTTCGTCAGAGATCAACTCGTTGGCACTGGCTGATGGTACTTCCCAAATAAGTGAAGCGGTCAACGTGCTCAACCACTTCACTTCCTATTTTTAAACTAGGTGTCGATGTAGTCCAGTCCTGTAACATCATCTTGCATTTGGCGGGAGCGAATCGCATGCCAAACATTCGTAGATTGCGGCTCAAGGTGTTTAGAAGACTGCATTTTGTCAGAGTCTTCGCCTAGAAGGACTATATCGTCTGCATATTCCAAGTCAACGAGATTATTCCCTGGTAGCAAGTCAATCCCTGAGTCGCTGAAGTCACTTAGGGTTAAGTCCATTAACACATCTATGATAAAGTTGAATAGAAATGGGGATAATGGGCATTTTTGATGGACACCACTAGTCGTCACCAGTTCAGATGACAACTCGCCGTAATCCCTCACCTGGCTGTATGAGTACGAGTAGAGTGCCTTAATCAGTGCAATATATTTTCTCGGAATTTCCTTTACAGCCAAGCATCTCCAGAGAACTTCTCGATCGACAGAGTCGAATGCTGCCTTTAGGTCAAGAAATATAATGACTGTTGGACGCCGGTAGGAATTCCTATGTTCTAGAATCCTTCGGAGGGTGAAGATATGATCAATAACCCTCTTCCTGGTCTAAAGCCTGCCTGGCTCTCTCGTGTTTGTGCCTCCCTAGCACCACTTAGTCTACGCATGATTATTGAGCCTAAGACTTTAGATACTATATTAGTCAAGCTAATCCCTCTGTGATTATCACAGGAAGACTTGTCTCCCTTCTTGTATATGGGGATAATCAGTGACTTACACCAACCCGATGGGACTTCCTCTGATTCCCAGACGCTGCCTAGAACATCAGTTAGTGCAGACAGTAAACTGTCTCCACTGTACTTAAATACCTCTGGAGTCATCAGGTCTCTCTGCTTTGCCTAGTTCCAGATTGGTGACAGCTTTAGAAACGTCAGTTGGGGAAGGAGGACCTGTGTCTATATCCCATTCAGGGAGGTGTTGGATGTTCGGCAGGTTGAGCGTGGCTGTGGGCCAATTAAACTGCTCCTCATAGTGCTCGGGATGATAAAAACCAGTGGCTGGAAACAATTGGTGACATGGCTCAGAATCGTTTTCAGTGGCGCAGATGCATCCACTCCTTGTGATTTATGATTTCCAATGAAACTATATTGCTATTCGTTATTACTCTTCCTTTGTCTCACACCTCTGTTTACTGTCTCTATTATGCATTTCTTCTACTTTCTCCTCTTGCTTTGTGTGCTACATGGAGGGAGTGTGGCGACTTGAACTGCTGCACATCGGTGCAAAGTTCTATGTCGAAAACAGACAGACAGTGTGGTTAAGTGAAGGACATTCAAAATCACTTCGTAGCGCTATTGTCTCATCTTATGGATACAGAACACTAGATGGATGTTAACCAGGCTTTCAGATTCATTTACCCCATACCTACGAATCTCAAGAATTCGACTACTAAATATTGCTGAAGCTGTTGGGATCCATATTATGAAGCCTAATTTGTGCGTACAAAAGAAGTTAGTTCAGACATTATCCTTACCTTAGCCACTAAGGTTTGAATGATCCTGAATTTTTGTGGAATTTCCCTAATTTAGTTGATATTCTATTTACTACTATATCTTTATTATTATTATAATTTAAGCTTCTTTAATGGACTGTAATTCTGTTGATCTTACTTTACAAATGGATATTATTTAAGAAAACAATAATATTGTTATTGACTACTATTTTAGAATATTCTATATATATATAATTGTTGAGTCGGAAGAGGAAATCATCGAAATGGATATTCTTTGCTCAATTATTTTGTGTTTGAAAGATTAGAAAAGTAAAATAAAACTAGTATTCATTTGAAATCAAAAGTTAATGCTGTTTACCGAAGTGCTGAACGTGCTTGATTGCAGAGTACCTGTCATCTACTGTTTACAAGTTATAGGTTTCTTTAGGAACAATTTATGACTTTGGTACGTTTAGAAATTCTATAAAACTATGGGTTACAGCGTATTTCCAGAAGGGGAGTGCATCTTTCAATACGTTGACCGGTATGAAGAAAAATTAATTTAATAGTCATTGGTGTGACTAATTCATACTGTAGTTGTTCGCTGCAACCAGATTTCTCAATTTAACTGATTCTCGAAGCACGTAGAGTTATGTTTTACTAATACCAATGTAGGAAATTCAGCTGTTACTGCTTTAAATGTCATGACTCTTAACAAATCTTGGATAACTGTGAACCATCATTTATCTCCATCCAATAGATTGCAGTCCATAAATCTGTATATTAATATAAATCTACGGGGTAGAAATTCGTTGATTGCACCAAACTGATAACGGTTTCGTTGGCCGTCTATTTCTCGATCAATATTTCTTTGCACCATTCCATCGACGTGGTGCTTTTTGTCGTTAAAAGGGCATATCCCTATCTGCTGAGAATTTTTTAAGTGTATTCGAGTAGCAACACTATTTGTATTGTCTGCACGGAAATGATGATCACTTTATTCCAAAAAGTGACTAACTAGCTCTCTCGATTTGCATGTATACACCACCCGTCTTTTATTCTGCATTTAGATTCGTCGTGCTGCCCTGAATCAACTGGATGGTAGTTATGGCGGAATTACTATTTTCCCGCAACTTAATCACATCTGTAAGTTATCTGCGTATTTTTGTTTGTCTCGTGCCTTTTTGCTTATAATATTTTTACCAAGCAAAACCCTCAACTTATATTTAAATATAACTCTGAAATCGAATTCATAATTTGAATATTAATCAGCAGCTTGCAAATTACACAGTTTGAGGTGGAATTTCACCACAGTTTCCTTTGGAAAACAAATTTATTGAGATCACAGTTTTATTTGCTTGATATCCTATGTGGTAATCCGGAAAGCAAGCATAAATCTCTTAAACTAGATACAACTGATTGATTGAGATGGGTAGTTGTATACCACTCACGCCAACCATGAGTGCTGGTCAGCCAGATCAAGATGACCTGAACACTGGACAGCCGTTTCTCTTGTGCCCCATCTCAAAACAATTCAGAAAGCCGAATCAGTTTCAGTCAGTCAGCAGTATCTAATTTAATTCATTTATGCTGGCTTTCCTGAAGACTCCCTGATTTTTTCATGGAGACAGATATGCAGGCAAATCAACCTAGGAATTTGTACGCCAATTTTTATCTGTACAAATGGTCACACTCCAATACTACACAAAAACTGTGGTGGGCATTTATGAAATTAAAATTAAAAGTGCAATGATTGATAAAAACTATCAGAATTGTGATGATAAAGCGAGAGAGAGGGAGTACTTTCAAGTCACAAAGGGTCTACTGCTGATAATTCCTAGCATTTTGGAGATCGGAATCAGGTAAGTGTCATAGACTAATAGTTACTGTCTCCATTAACTGATGTCGTATTTATTTAATCTAACCACCAATCACTTTCCACGACTTAATTTTCCCTCTTACTTCAGTGACATTACTCTTTTGTGAAGTTGGCTTAGTATGCCTAACACATTCAAGCTATCCCAGTCGGTGGAAACAACTTCATCAATTGACTCTGCGTCTTTGTCACTAAGTCTTGTTTTAAATTTACTTAAAAACTCTTTTCACCAAAATTAGATGTAAAATCTATGATGTTTCCTTATCCTCTGCTTTCTTTCAAAAGCCATATCTCAGCAGTAAAGTACAACTAGAGGAACTGATGAGCGATATATTCTTCGATGATAATCAGTATCAAAAATCGCGAATAAGCCTTCTAGATCTTTGCGGAGATTTATCAGTAAATAATTTATCTGGTCTGTTGCAGTTCTTTAAATAGCTGAAGTGATCAACACATCTAGTTACTTGACTCTCTGTCGGTAAACTAAGAGTCAGTCTTGCAGTGTCATCCTTAAACAAAAATCGGTGAACCACATGAAAAACATTCAAATTTTTGCTCAGTTTATTTGAAAGATTATGCTTTGTCAGTGACTTTACCTAATGGGATTATACCATTTGTGTACCCCAAGTTAATGTACACACCCCTGGTTACGGGGTAGTTTCTGAAACTTCAGAATCACACTCTTCAGTATAATAAGTATCCTTGACAAATGACATTGGGTTTTGTCACTTCATATCGCAATTCTTGGTAAGCTTTAACACAGCTGCACGAGTATCAGTAGAGGGTCTTCATATGTGCCCTATGAAGTGTGTCATACTTTTGTGCAAAGTTCTGCACTGAACTTCCATTCTTTTATTCACTATCTCCTTCGGCGTTATTGAATAATTCCATCAGGTTAAGAAATAGGGTGATTTTCAAGTATTGGTTTCCACAGATTTCATTGATTTCAAGATTGATTACGAATTGACTTCAGTTAGAGGGTGCCAAAAAGATGTTCTGTCCTTGTTTTTGACTCTCCAGCATTACACACCCATGGAGCCACCAAGGAACGAACTGATAGCCGTCGAAATACAAGGAGAGGGTGATTCTTGGACACCAGTATAGCTTTTCAGTAGAGCAAGTATTGCTTAATCAGTGCATCTCTACTAAGACTTGAAATATGCCTGATTCTTCCAGATTTCTTTTTTGTCGTGTGATTATGGATTATGGGCCTCCGATAGTATGTTAACCGTGCTGATTTCCTTGTGAGCTTGACAATGGTTAACGGCTGTTATTTGATACCAGGAGTATTATTTTATCTACCAACATCACACGTTTATATCAGATCACTTTAATATACAAATGCTGCATTTGTCTTGGCTTTTCGACTCCTAGTGGATCATCTGCATCTTACCAGCTGTTCTTAACTGAGATTTGATTAGTTTTTGGTGCATTTTAAGGTTCTAGTCCTAGACTACAATTCAGACTTAGCACATTTTGGTGTGATAGATGACATAATTGTCTGTAAATTGCGGCATAAGTGAGTCAGTTCCTGAGATCGTTAAATCATTGGTCACTAAAATAGTTGGTCCGTGTGTTATGTACTTCTTATTGCCGTCTGCTAGAAGTTGAAATATAGGTGTAACCACTTCATAGTGTAACCTCTCAATCAGAGGTGGGTGTAAGCATACCTGTAGGGGTTGTCACTAAAATAACAGGCAGCATGGTTGTCTAGTTTCAAGTGCTGTCCTTAATTCATTAATCGAGTTCACAACGTAAGGTAAGTCAGACGGCATTGTAGTTTGACATTAAACATCAAGATGTGTCTGTGTAAACACCAATTTTTGGGTTCAGAAGACGAAGTGGTTGCTGATTTTAGTTGTGCAGTATTATCCATACTTGGTTTGCATGTAAACTGCATTATCACATTTTTATGCTATTTCTCTGTATTTGTGCACTGTGGCTCTCTACCTATGTCGTTAGTATTGCACTTTTGCTTTATGGTAGGTGGCTGCAGTGCAAGCGCGCTTACATCGAAATGTTTGTTTCTTAAATGAGGCTGCTTCCTCTTATATATCTAGTATTCTACAGACAGATGTCAGTGTATCCTAGACCTAACTGGTTCTTCTTTGGAAAGCTATTGGTGGCTTCTGCTGTCCTAATTCTAGACACAGTAAATACGACAGGTCAGCAATGGAAAGCTGTTTTCCACAAACTCATTACCTAAAAAGCATCGTAGCTAAGTTCTGTATTTTAAATAGACATATTTTTTAACACAGGCTAGTGGCTTAGAGGCGTGCCAAGTCAGTCATCTTTATTGATGTCTGTCTGCCTTTCATTCTCTGATTGGTCAATTTTTGGTCTTTAGTCTGTCTATTATTGATTGTCTATCGCCTACCTGTCCTTAGCGTAGGCTTATATATATAAGGTCAAGCAAACCAACCTGGTGCGTTGAAATTTAACTATATATGGGTAGAAGAGTATTATGTAGAAAAATGAAGTTTTCTGCTATTGGTTTAATTTATTTTTCTCATAAAGTTATTATTCTCATAGATTTAAAGGTTTGGAAATTTTTCTTTTTTATGCTGGAGATTTTCCGGAGGCGAATGATTAAAATTACTCTTATTAATAAAGACAGTGATATTTGTGTTGCAGTGCATCTATCAAGACTAGTGCACTTTGTTTTCTAATTTTTCATTAGTACTTACTGGTAAATTTAGAAAAATTATCAGTTATCCTTGAGAAGCTTCTTTATTAAACTCTAAGATGACTAAAGATATCGGCATTCGGTGTTTGTTAGGCTATGAAACCCATGCTAAGATGCTTAAAAATAAGCAATATCCATCTTGAGTCTTGGAGGTGTTGTCGCTTGTACCTTTCAATGTACATTTTCGGTGCTAATCGAAATGAGTTTGTAGCTACGTGAACGTATCAACGCATTCACAATACCGAATTCAGGTTCCCACTGTAATTTGTTCTCCTTTTGAATGTGAACCAGCTTCTCACCATTTTCAATTAATTTATTTCCTAGTTGAATTTTCCGGTCAACCTATCACAAAATAACTCCCCCCCTCACAACAAACCAAACCCTATGTTGTACTAGACAGCTTTTTTAACCTCAGTAGATGGAAAGAGGTTGGAAATTGTTACACACTCATTGGAAGTGGAGTACACTTACTGATACAATACAGGTCCAGATGAATTATTTCGCAAACTAAACTTTGATTTTTTCAACATCCTAAATCTTGCTAGCTGTAGTCGGCTTTATGAATAATAGATGGATACATACGAGATTCGAGTGAATTAATGTAATCAATTCTATGTTGAGTCTTGGAATGTCAGACCGTTAAGGTATGAGAAGAGAAGAGATATTTCAAAATAAGTAAACAGACATATGAAGCAAGAAACGGAATTTCAATGTACATCTCGTCACGAATCACTAACAGTTAGAGGGATTTGAACAAAGCAAGAACTACAGATTTAGCAGAATAAAATGGTACTATCTTTTATTTCGTTGCCTTCTCTTCAGATGCTTACAGGGCAAATACATTATTAAATATATCTACAAAAACAATTTTAACATACTTGCACAGAGTTCATTTTAATTAAAAATCAATCGATCAATACGCACACACTAATAATATATATATATATATATAATATTAAGCACTATTCCGAACAATAATAATCATACACAATGAAAACTTTTCAGCATTTCGCATTCGGATGAAAGAGAGATGAAAAATATCCAGTTACCAGACAGGGCTAAGAAAGACTGAAAGCGGCTTCTTTCCGGACGCATCAATCAGGTTTCAAGCGCTTGATGAAAATGGCCTCAGCAAACTTAAGGAGAATTGAGCTCTTTTGCATATTGATAATTTTGAGCGACTTCGACATCCACCTCATGACCCGTGTCGAGGAGATGCCTGGCGAGGCACTGTTTAAAGCATTTGTTCCCTTTAGACGTAAGCTTTTCGGTACATGTTCAAAAAATCGTAGATATGCCCTTCCAATGTAACTGCTCCCGCAGATACATGTAAATTTGTATATACAGTTGGAGTTAACATGAGAAGGATATCTATCGATTTTCGATTGCACCAAAGAGCAAGTTGTTCGATAGACAGGAATGAGCCTAGAGGGATTACTGGACACCAAGGGGCACTGGACAGCTGTTTTGTCATTGGTTGGGGACTCTCCAGCAGTCCTTTAGATCGTGAGACCAAGATCGCCGAGTGTTCAGCTGCTTGGGCTTAGGAATTCGATGACTCGTGAGTTCTAACTTTGTCAGTTCGTGATATAGTGCTGCACTCGACCAGTGTCTTCAATTAGCTGTTCTGTGCTTCCTAGTTTTCGATATTGATTTGTGATAAAATCTGCATTGAAATTAATCCACATTGAAATTAATCTCCACAAAAATCCCTAGCCTAAAGAAATAGGATGCTTGCGATTTTGAAGAATAGAGGAATTAACTGCTCTCTGGTAGTCACGGTTGAGTGATGTAACCTATGGTTTTTTGTCATTGGCTCTTAGCATCTCAAATTTTCATCTAGGATAACCGATAGTCAGAGATTTAGTTTAACCACTCTTACATCACTTAACAGCCTAATCTTACATATAACGGCTTATTGTGGATATTCCAACCGCTGTTAAATGAAGCTACTACTAGTAATGTGTATTATTTCAACTTGTTTATCTGTCTTCTTATCCTTAACTTGATTTACGAATATGAAGCATAACAACTTGAGTTAACATTCAGCAGCGCTGTAGATTTCACGTCTTTGTTATCTATTCTTCTTGAATGACTAACTTTCCTGTGTCACATTTTTTAACTTAACCTCAACCTTGGAGGATTATTAACTATACAGAGCAGGTGAAGTAACAAAAGTAATTGATAAATTACTTCTTTCTTTTCATATCAGAAAACATTGCAAAGCTGATTGATCGTAATATAAGACTATATGTAGTTAGTGCAATTAGTTCATAAAAAGGTGTCGTTGGTGATCACTAAGGTTGTAGCACTATAGCACTATGAAATAACGAGGTTTCGCTCGATACTGTTGGACTTTTAACGATTCTTAACGTCTGTTGTATCGATTGATCTACTGCCACAATATAAAAATATGTGCGGTACCACTTGTTTAAGTATCTCCAGACTGCTGGTGACATGGCTTAAAGTTGTTCTCAATGGCATAGTTGCATTCGTTCTTTGTAATCTTTCAACACCATTAAATCGTTATTATTCTTTGTGTACTCCATGACATTCCCGTTCATTATAGTTTGTTCAAATTAGTATTTCTTGTTACCTTTGTGTGCTATACGGAGTATGGCATCATGTACTGTCTCACTTCTGTGTTAAGTTCACTGTTGAGAGCTCAATCAGTTAGTCAGCCAGTCAGCCTCTTGCTTTCACTGTCTAAAATATTTCTCATTTTTTTGTTCCTCAGTTTCGCAGTCTATTTGTCCTCATCACAATATGTTATAGTCATTGGTGCAAATGAACAGACCGTTATTCATGAATAAACGGTAATTGATGTGGGGGTGTGTGTAGTATTTGATCCCCCAGGTCATTAAACATCAAATTACGGTCATTGACAGGGATTCACTCATCAAAAATATAACATAGGCTTCGAGGCGTAAATAGTTTAAACAACTGATTCTATTCGGTCTGTAGTTACGTTACAGAATCCTCCCAATAAGCAAAAACATCAGAACACAACCTGGTAAAGGAGTAAGTTAGCATAAATAGCCAATAACTGATCATTCTTGAACCGGGAAGTGTTAAAGAACTAAAATTCCTTCTGAATGTTGCTCTCAAATCGCTCATTAAAAATATATATCGCTTTTGAACTAAGCTTATGTGTTGCATGGAACAAAAATGCACACGTTTTAAACACAGGTCGCCAAATCCTTTTTTCTAATGTAATCGTCGTATTGTTTGAGTTGAACAACGTCACTGCTTATAATGAGTAATGTTTGTGTGACACATTTGTACTGTATTTTTCGAGGTTGCTGTGAATCTGTCAATAGTAGTAACCTGTTTTCTTAACTCCAATGATTTAATCAGTTGAAAGATATCCTTATCGACTATGCGTACACAAAAATAACAAAAACGATGGCACTCTGAGACATTGAGTAATTGTAAAACATGGTTGAAATAAAGGATATTACTTATAAATGTTTCGAAGTGTAGCTGACTGAAGTGACACATTTAAGTATTGGTTTTTAGGTATTTGATTGGTTTACAGGATTTCACCATGAGCTGATATTGGTTAGAGAAACATTGGAAAACCTGGGAGTACTGGACAACTGTTTCGTCCTAGTTCGAGACTCTTCAGCAACACGCACCCACTGGGGTTCGATACATCTTTGTTTTATGTTCTATGTTGACATATCTTTCCTTAAGACTAGTATAGTGTGGTATGGGTGAAAGACTAGGTGGTTCGTTTACTGTTCATCAACTTAGGTGACAATGCGTATACTTTATCGCTATCTACGAAACACTTTAAATTGCTACTTTAGTTTCGCCATGGATGATTTGACCGGTTACAAATTGAAACGTTAAATGTTGAGTAGGGTTACTGACTTTTAGGATATCTGGCAAAGATTAAAGAGTTATAAAGAATTAGTGATGTAATCTGTACATGTCATCTACTCATGTAATCTCTACTGTTCCTGATACTTCTGCTGTTTATTTTCTTTGCATGTGTTTTATACTATTATTCAATGTTAAAATGTGTTTTGTGTGCACTTGTTTTTCATCTACAGCCAATAACACAAAAGAAACTAATGACAGTGGTTTAACATCTGAAGTTTCTTCAATCAACTATCCAACAGGAACATTATTTTCTCCTATGAATACAATGACTGCTGTGATGTCTACTGGTACTGGTATGGGTGGGTGTGGTGCACTTTTGGTTCCTCTTGTGACTGGAAGTCATGGTACAACTCTCTTATCATCTAATATGACTCCCGTTTCATCACAACTCTCTATGGTACCTGACTCTTCTGTTTTGGTAAACACGAATACCACCCCGATGACAAGCACGTCAGTTAATTTTATCCCTTCTAGCAGTGGATCTGTTTCCAACTCTAATTCCTCAGTTCACAGCAGCAATTCAAAATTAGATGCTAAAATCCCAACCTCCAGTTCAGAGCCAAACGGTCAGTTACGGGTAAGTATCTTTATTTTATAGAGTTAACCTAATGGCTTAGTTTTTCCGTTACTGATTTCTTTATTTGTTACTCTGAACACTTATTTGATGTTTAATCTTTTTTTTCTTAAGGGTTCTAAGGAGGTGATTGAAATGAAACCAGAACCCCTTGACTGCTATGGAAGAGTTACCACAGGTACAACAGAAGATCTTATGACTTCAGGAACTCAAAATGAAATGACAACAATTAGTTTTCCCCAATTAACTTCAATCGCATCTTTTGCTCAACCGTCTGCCGCAATAACTATGAGCGGGTCTGTTTCTACGCCGTCAGTTCAAGCCTCACGACTTAGCGGAATAACGACTACAAATTCTACAGATGGAAACAACACTGCATCATCCGACACTCCTCCGAATTCAACTTCTAAAGGATCTGCCGGTTCTGGACCTTATCGTTGTAGAGAGTGTGATAAAGAATTTCGAATATTACGTTATCTAGAAAAGCACAGACGCATACACACTGGTGAGAAACCGTATCAGTGTTGCTATTGTGGTCGACAGTTCAACGACTGGCCAAATATGAATAGACACAAACGGATTCACACAGGTTAGCTGCATGGAACATACGTTTATTGTATTTCAAATAAGCTTTCCATTTCACAAAACCATAAGTGCTGACTTGAAATGTCTTCAGTCAATTAAGCCTTCGGCTCTTGATTTGTGATTGATGCAGTTGTCGAAGTATGGTTCATTGATTTAGGCACTTGATTTCAGCTAACGTGTCCCTGGTTCAAGTTACACTCCACCTACTTCAGCCCGAAAAGCAGTACTTTCAGTCCCTACACATTGAGTATGTCTTAAAACCTTGGCATATTTTGGGTGAATTGAGTCCTAACTAACCAATTGATTTAGTCATAATACTATTGGAAAGAAGTTATAGGCTGTAATAATTTGCTATGAAGGTGCACTGCAAACCCCTTAAGTAGATGAACTCTTTGTATTTATAATCGATTCCATGTACAAAGTTGCAGCAGTACTGAACTTATTCGTTGGTTTAGTATTTTAGCAAGACGAAATGATATATGTGGTCTTGATGTCGTTGCATTCTGTGAGCTAGGTGGTTTAACTGATTAACCTTGATTTTCTAAACATCTTCAGAGCAAACTGCATCGGTGGCACAGCGGTTTGAACTTTCGCTGACCATGCACATGGTCCGGGGTTCGACCCCCTGCCGACGCACACCTGATACCTATGGTGTCGGCCTGCAAAATTTGGGCTACCAATACCACATGCTGAAAATTTCATACTTCTGCCGAAAATACGGTGTGGAATCAAGCAGTAATCAAAAATAAAATATAAAAAAAATAAATAAAATATAAAGTGAACTTATCTGAGTTCTCAATCAATGACATAATTATATGTTCTAGCAACTATTGTGATTAGTTGTTAATTTGCATTATTATTGATCGTTTCTATTAATTTGGGATTTGACTGTGTGTCTTATTCTTTATTACTTCATAAATTTGGTCTATAATACTGTGTGTGTTGACGGCTGATTCGTCTGAGTATCAGGCTTCTAGGAGTTCTTTGTCATTAATGGTGTTTTCACTGTTTAAAATTTTTGCATTTACGCAATCAAATTAGTGCCCATAATTTTGGTAATATGACAATGCACTGATATGAAAGAACACGTGTCGTATCTTTTCATGGCTAGTTAATGTTTTCGGCTTCAGAATCAAAGAGCATGCCAACTTTGACTATCTGTATGTCTGTTTTCGACATAGGACTTTGCACCGATGTGCGGCACTTCAAGTCGCCACACTTCCTCCTTGTAGCACACAAAGCAAGTGAAAAAAGTAGAAAAAATGCGTAATAGAGACAGTAAACAGAGGTGTGAGACAAAGGAATAGTAGTAACGAAGAACAATATATGTTCATTGGAAATCATAAGTCACAAGGAGTGGATGGATCCTCACCAGCCATTGAGAACGATTTTGAGCCATGTCACCAATTGTTTTCTAACCATTGGCTTTTACCGTCCCGAAGACCCCAACCAGGAAGTCTACACCTTCCTACTTGGCTGGCTTAAACTAACTTGTAGATTTCATTGACTGGTGAAGCCATGTATTGGTTTGACCACCGCTAGCTCTTTTCCAGTCTGACCCTATATCAGGTAACATTGCCCGTCGAGGAGCGCGATGGCTAGGGATGCATGTGTAGCACATGTCCTAACCATCTCACTCAGTCGATGTAAATTCACAGCCTCGTCGATCGATTCTCCCCCCGCCCCCCCCCCCTTAACTAGCACTCGACCGAAGCCTAACCTCAATATTGCTCACACGGGAGATGGAGCGCAGGCACCTACGATCAAAGACAGCTAATCTTTCCATGTCTTTCACTCTCAATGGCCACGTCTCACAGCTGGCCATAAAGGAGGACGGAGCGGACTGATGAGTAGTACACACGCCCTTTGGTCGATAGTCGGATATCTCGTCTACGCCAGAGACGGCGTAAAATGGCATATGCGAAACTAGCCCTCTGTATTCGTGCTGAGATTTCGTCAGAGATCAACCCGTTGGCACTGGCTGATGGTACTTCCCAAATAAGTGAAGTGGTCAACGTGCTCTAAGACAAGATAAGATAAGGTAAGCTTTATTCCAAATCAGTACTTGTGATACAGAATGGAATTCTCAGCATTTTACTACAATATTGCATCCAGTTAGTACATTAACAATAAATATAATTCTACATAGATTAAGGTTATCTCAGTCAGTTTTGACAACAACATATTAGCAAGCCGGTAGCAAAGCCAAAATTTAAACAGTGTTTGAAGGTGTTAGAAAAGTAGATACTACTAGCATATTTACTGGCGTAAGCAATAGCAAAATGGTCGAGGTATACAGAGTGTGAAAGAACGAACAAGAATGTTTTAAGTAGAGTTTGTAAGGAAGAGAGAAACAAAACAGCACATAACAAAAATAAATAGAGAGGGAAAAAAAGGTAGAGAGCTAGGAGTCAATGAAGTTCAGTCCTGTAGCATCATCTTACATTTAGCTGGAGCGAATCGCATGCCAAACATTCGTAGATTGCGGCTCAAGGTGTTCAGAAGACTCTGCTCTATTTTGTCAGCGTCCTCGCCTAGAAGGACTATATCGTCTGCATATTCTAAGTCAACGAGATTATTCCCTGGTAGCAAGTCAATCCCGGAGTCTTTGAAGTGAGTTAGGATTAAGTCCATCAGTACATCGATGATGAAATTGAATAGAAATGGGGATAATGGGCATCCCTGACGGACACCATTAGTCGTCACCACCCCACTTTGACTAATATGATGTTTATCATAGCTAATAAATTTATTTTGCAGATGGTATTGATCTTGCCTTCTTTTGCTTGTTGAGTGTTTTGGTCTGCATACTAAATGCAGCGATTGTGTCTATTATGAAAATAAATTCCATTAGTCAATAAAACGACTACGTTGTCTCATTATAATTTGGTTTATTCAACTAATATCTCATTTAAAATTATTTTATCTGACTGTTCACATTTCAGAAGTATTTTTATCTCTACAATCTAAGGAAAATATCGCCTTTTGGGAGAGAGAGAGAGAGAGGGTTAAAGAGGCAGCCGCTACATATTGTCTCTTTCTCAGACAACAGGTGTTTTGGATAAATGAATACCTTTGGTGAATTGAATTCGTCTTGCTCCGAAGTGTTAACGATGGTGTACACTGGAAACGCTGGTTATTGTTGTATTGTCTGTATTGTTAAGCCTATGCTACTGTCTGTTTGCTTAAATGTGTTGAAAACATTTTGAAGTTGTGTGGGGGTGAGTCAGTATTTAGTTTTCTGTTTAATCATTCTGTTTCTGTTGAGAAACTTAGTTAAACAGTAAATTTATATCCATTTTACTCTTTAACTTATTTAGGTGAAAGACCTTATCGTTGTACGGTATGCACAAAGACATTTTCACAACCTGCGGTTTACAATGAACATGTAAAGCGACATACTGGTGAACGACCTTATATATGCACAGTATGCGCAAAAGGATTCCCTCGAGCTGCTCGTCTCGCTGTTCATATGCGTGTGCACACAGGTGAACGACCGTATCCATGCACTTCATGTGACCGAAGATTCAGTCAACCTCATCATCTGGCTGCTCATCTGTAAGTTAGTACTTATGTTAATGGCAAATTAAATTTCAACTTTATATCACTCTTAATGAAATAATGAGATTTGTTTTCTCGTCCAGTGAATTTAGATTAGTTTTTATGTTTAGTGTCTGTCTGTCTGTTTTCGACATAGAACTTTGCACAAATGTGCGGAAGTTCAAGTCGCCACACTCCGTGTAGCACGCGAAGCAAGAGAAGAAAGTACAAGAAAAGCATAATAGAAACAGTGAGCAGAGGTGTGAGACAAAAGAGTAGTAGTAACGAAGAACAAAACAGTTTCATTGGAAATCATAAGTCACAAGGAGTGGATGGATCCGCACCAGCCATTGAGAACGATTTTGAGCCATGTCACCAATTGTTTCTAACCATTGGCTTTTACCGTCCCGAGGACCCCAACCAGGAAGTCTACACCTTTCTACATGGCTTAGACTAACTGTTGTGGATTTCATTGACTGGTGCCAAGTTTTTGTTTGACTGCCGCTAGCTTTTTTCCAGCCTGACTCTATATCCGCTAACATTGCTCGTCGAGGAAGGCGATGACTAAACATACGTAACACATGTCCTAACCATCTCAGTCTTTGTAACTTCACAATTTCGTCGATTGATTTCCCCTGTTTACCTAGAACTCTACGCCTAACCTCCATGTTGCTCACCTTATTATGCCACTTCACACGGGAAATAGAGCGCTGGCACCTATGATCAAAGACAGCTAATCTTTTCATGTTTTCCACTCTCGATGGCTAGGTCTCACAGCTGGCCATAAAGGAGGACGGAGCGGACTGATGAGTAGTACACACGCCCTTTGGTCGATAGTCGGATATCTCGTCTACGCCAGAGTCGGCGTAAATTGGTAAATGCGAAACGGGCCCCCTGTATTCGTGCTGAGATTTCGTCAGAGATCAACCTGTTGGCACTGGCTGATGGTACTTCCCAAATAAGTGAAGCGGTCAACGTGCTCAACCACTTCACTTCCTATTTTTAAACTAGGCGTCGATGTAGTCCAGTCCTGTAACATCATCTTGCATTTGGCGGGAGCGAATCGCATGCCAAACATTCGTAGATTGCGGCTCAAGGTGTTTAGAAGAAACTGCATTTTGTCAGAGTCTTCGCCTAGAAGGACTATATCGTCTGTATATTCCAAGTCAACGAGATTATTTCCTGGTAGCAAGTCAATCCCTGAGTCGCTGAAGTCACTTAGGGTGAAGTCCATTAACACATCTATGATAAAGTTGAATAGAAATGGGGATAATGGGCATTTTTGACGGACACCACTAGTCGTCACCAGTTCAGATGACAACTCGCCGTAATCCCTCACCTGGCTGTATGAGTACGAGTAGAGTGCCTTAATCAGTGCAATATATTTTCTCGGAATTTCCTTTACAGCCAAGCATCTCCAGAGAACTTCTCGATCGACAGAGTCGAATGCTGCCTTTAGGTCAAGGAATATAATGACTGTTGGACGCCGGTAGGAATGGCTATGTTCTAGAATCTGTCGGAGGGTGAAGATATGATCAATACACCGTCTTCCTGGTCTAAAGTCTGCCTGGCTCTCTCGTGTTTAGTGTAGGTAAGGTAGTGCCATAGAGGCGTGGTGTTCTGCTTCATTGGCATAAACGTTAAACTTTTAACCTCTAGGTCATGTGTTCGAGTTCTGCTTCAGCTTTACTCAACTTTGAATAGCCAGAAAGCATTCCAGCTCTTCACACTGTGACCGGAATCTGGGATGTATAGAGTGACCATACTGTTACATTCTCACTTCATCTTTGCAAAATTTACTGAGGGGAAAATTCTTTGTTCACAGCCATTCTGTATATTTACGAAGTTTTTTTTCCTTCACGTTCCCTAGTGGAGCATGGGGCTTCAAGCTAGAGGTTTGAAGTTTCTGTAGTAGTGTTTATTTTACAGGATAGGGTTGCTAGCCTCATCCCCAACCTTTCCTCTTTACCAGCATTATTTCTGGCTTAGCGAGGTTAGGGGGTGCGTCTGTGGCCTGGGATCGAACACCGGACCATGTGCATGGATGGCGAGCGTCCTAACCGCTACGCCACCGGCGCACATATTTACAAAGTTACACTACTATTTTCATGTGACTATAAGAAACGTTTTACTTCTTACTAATGACCAGAGCATTGATTTGAAGATGAAGTTGATATTGTAATTCGATAGTTGGAGTTTTAACGCCAGGCTACTTGACTTCATTAGCACATTTTTAAGATGAAATAACGAATGAATCTTTCACAATTAAGTATCAATCAGGCGTTGTCCCACGCTTTAAGGCCAATATCTATAATATTTTAAGACTGAGACCATGAATTGTCATTGAGTGTTGTATAAATGAACTGGGAAGCTTACTGGAAGTTAATTTGTGTGATTGGGATAATGTGGAAATTTTAAATATTGGGAACACCGAAAGTCTCAGGGAATTTCTAGAAGCCTGTTACTCAAGTGAATCAGCAATTAACAAACATATTAGTATTATTGTTCCCTTGGGTTCCTATTGGAACATAGGGCTTCATCTGCACGTCTCCACTTGCTTCTGTCTTCCTTCTGCTGTACTTTTCATCTGCATCCATGTTAATCCATACTCTTTCAACTCCTCTTCACACGATCTCCTCCATGTCACCCTCACACTAAAGTCCCACTCGCCGCTTCCCTTTCGGTCTGGTTCCACTCGAGAAATGGCCTGACGCGCGCGCGATGTCACTCAGCGGCCTCCTCAGCCAGTGTCTAATTTATCTCCACTCTCTCCTGCATATTCGTTAGGCGATTTGTTCTTGTTTTGTTTGTTCCCATAGTTTCTTGTTGGTAATTCTTTCCGGTCCGCCCATCTGATCAGATCTTCAGTAGAGAGCGAAGACAGTTAGTTGATGAAGGTCTGCAATAGCCAGCTTGTTGGAAATATTCTTCGTGACCCGTCCGCCGGCCAAGTTTCTGATCCGATCCGTATAGAAGAACTGACTGACTTGACGTGTTTGTATTGAAAATCCTACTGAATTTTGTTGTTGATTCTGGCTGAGTGACGGAGATTTCCAGATTGGTTTCAGGTTGATGAATATGTTTCTCGCCTTCCCGATTCTCGCTCGATTCGACATAGTCATCCGTTTCTCCGTTCCTGTAGTTGGGACAATGTCCCCTAGATAAGTGAATGAATGAAATAACCTCTTTCAAATCCCTCCTGTTGATGGTGATTGGCGCTTGATGTTTCTGCTGCTGTTTTTGTTGTTTGTTGGTTATTTTCATAACCTCCGTCTTGTCTATGTTCACCTGGAGTCCTGTCTTCACTGTCTGCTGCTTCTTCGACCAGTTTGGCGGTCGGTTTTCGCTTGTAAGTCTTCGATTTTGTGTGACATCAAACATATTAGTATAGACCAAATTCACTAGCTAACAAAAAGTAAATCACATGACAAGAAAGTTCAAATTCCATGTCAATAAAAATGATAAACAGAGAGAAAGAGGTAAATCATCAACCATTCACGACAATGCTTACCAGAAGACACAATTATATCCTTCATGGAGAATTCAAATGAGTTCATTTTATACCAAAACCTGCACTGAATATGTCTCAAAAGTCGATGAATGCTTCTCAATTAAATCAGTCAGATCAGAGAACACAACTCATTCGAAATGTGTGTTTGGCATACAAATGATTTTAGTATCAATAAGAATCTCTTCGTAATTATCTAACCATCTGATTCAAAAGATGCACCTAATTGACGAAATTATGATTGCAGGTCTCTGGTTCTCACTACAGTTTTACAAGTAGAGAAACAGTGTGTGTAAGACTCCGGAAAGATAGTAATTTTTTGTTGTTGTAATTTTAATGAGTTGTTTGGTTTTTTATGAATTCTATTTTAGTCGCGTTCACAGCGGTGATAGACCATACTCTTGCCCGAAGTGTGATGTCAGTTTTGCATGCATATCCAACTTACGTCGTCATCGGAAACAAGTACATCCTACTAGTCCTGCTCCATCTGAAAATGCAAATGGTAATGAAGTGAAAAGCAGTAATGAAGATAAAAAGCCATCCCTTCAAATTATTACTTCTAGTGTTGCTGATAGCATTAGTTCTTCTTCTGTTGTTACTATGGAAACACCATCTTATATGGCTTCATCGTCAACTTTGTCAACTGATACTCCAGTCGCTATTGCTGCTGCTATGTCAGGAACAGTGTTAACAGCGACTGGTGCTTTGGTTCCAGCAAATTTCTTACCTGCATCTTCAATACCTGGCTTGATATTAACTTCAGCTGCACCTGGTGGTGCATTAATAGCTGCACCAGCACACCTAACCGAACAACATTCACATCTTCATCCCACTATTATTGCTCATAACTCAGGTAATTTTTTATTTTTGTATAATTTAGTACTTTATTTTTTAATTTTCCATTCTTGTTGTTTTATTAATACTTTACAAATAGACAGATTGTCTGACATACATTTTCTATCTTAAGTTCATTCTTTATGTACTTATTATTATTCATTTACTACTAATTAATTCGTTAACTTGGCGGCTACCATTAAAGTAGATGAACTTATATGTATCACACGTTTATTACATAGACAGTTTAATTATATCATTTGGTAACAAACATTCTTTTACAATAATGCGATACTAATTAATAACATTCACAATCTGTATGACGTGCTCATATAGGTTATTGAATTGGAGACAGGCGCTTTTTTCATCACTAAGTGATATCCATTGATTAAAACTAATTTTTAACTAAAGGAAATAAATAAAATCCTCAAAAAGCCATCAAGTTAGTAGAGATTGAATTTTGATTGGATAAAAAAGAAAGATTTCATTTACATAATTGTGACATTCCAACAAAGTGTTGTTACACCTTCGTAATAAATCTTAAAATAACGTTATCTACATAGATAATGAAATTAATTTGTAAAGTGCACATCTGTATATATTTTAAATAAATACTAGTCTTGTATACTATCTCATTTTTTCTTATAGATAAAGACAACTTATATATTATTCCGCTTCTTAACTGAGGCATTTACAATGCCTTAGTTTTCTTATGAAGTTTATCATGATTATTATTTTATTCCTTTGTATTCCGATTGGGGCATAACATGGCTTCGGGATAGAGCTTTTTATTCTCAGTATAGTGGTGGTGTTTGTATTACGGGAATGAGTTGTTGTTAGCTACTACTACTACCGGCTACGTGCGTCGGCTGGGAATTACACTCCGGTCCATGTGCGTGGTTAGTTGGCTGGCTGAGCATTCTCCCTCCCATTGAGCAGCCACCAATGTATCGGCTTCATTTCATTTTTCGTGTTCAGAAATAGAAATCAACTATATCGTGTTCGCTTGATACGCGAAGAAGTCAATTGAAAATGTTCTCTGTCATTGTTGAAGAGAAGTACAAACAATATCAATATGGCACCAAGAAAGATGCGCCACACAAAATTTCATTTGTTGTGTAAGAGCTGAGATACTTCTCGGGCGCCCAGACCGAAGCAGGTGGTTTTCTTAAGGGACCACCCCCGAGCCTTTGACTTGGAGTCTAGTTCGCAAGGCAGAGGAGCAGCGTCAGGAGCTGCATTCCCATGGTTACCGGTGACCCATATGGGTTCATACGCCATTTGATCCGATTGTATTCTGAAGCCCATGTACCCCATGGTAACTGCTTTTAGTCCAAACAACCTTCCTGACATGGTAGGACCTGCAGGGAGATGAGTCCCAGCCAGTTTAGCTTGTTGGGGGTCACTGTGGTATTCAAGCCCGACCACCACGGCAAGGTAGCAGTTGTCGGCCGGGAAGAGAAGTAAATATATAAATTTTTATTCGAATGTAACAGATATTCTACACATATCTTAGCTTGAAGTCATGTATAGGGTCCTCTTCAAAAAGAAAGTAAAACAACAACTCACATCAACAGTCTTTGATCACTTTATGCTAGACAAGCCTATACACGTTACATTGAAATGGAGATGTGTCTCCTTGGCTGAAGCTACTTGGTTTTTACTCGATAGGTCACCGGTTCGAGTTCCGCTTCACTTACTTCAAACTGGATATCTGGGCAGCAGGATCCTCAGTCCTTTGCACAATAAGTATGACTTTCACCTGAGTACTTGATAAATCTGTTCGTCACTGAGCATCAACAACAAGATTCGGATTTTCAATACAAACGGATCAGAAGCTTGGCGGGCGGGTCACGAAGAATATTTCCAACAGCCTGTTGCAAACCTTTATCAACTAACTGTCTTCGCTCTATACTGAAGATCTGATCAGATGGGCGGACCGGAAAGAATCACCAACAAGAAACTATGGGAACAAACAAAACAAGAACAAATCGCCTAACGAATATGCAGGAGAGAGTGGAGATAAATTGGACACTGGCTGAGGAGGCCGCTGAGTGACATCGCGCGCGCGTCAGGCCATTTCTCGAGTGGAACCAGACCGAAAGGGAAGCGGCGAGTGGGACTTTAGTGTGAGGGTGACATGGAGGAGATCGTGTGAAGAGGAGTTGAAAGAGTATGGATTAACATGGATGCAGATGAAAAGTACAGCAGAAGGAAGACAGAAGCAAGTGGAGACGTGCAGATGAAGCCCTATGTTCCACTAGGAACCAAAGGGAACAATAATAGTAATTAATTAAGTTGATTTGTTAAGGCTTTCATTTAACTTGTATTTAGAGATGTAGAGTGTAGTTGCTGTTCTATCAAGTCAAAACTAGTCCATACTAGATAAGGTCATTTCGTATAAAACAAAGCGATACAGTATTAATAAATAGCTAGATAATGTTTCGGGCCTAACTTTTTTTGTGCTCATATTCGTCATCCAGTTATTCATAGTGTATCATTGAATGTTATATCATTGTATCAATTATTTGTTATGGAATTAAATTCTATCACAAAAGTCAAAACTATGATAATGTATCTAAGACAAATGTTGTTATTATAATTTGATCTATTTTGAGTTCGCACATTACCATTACAAATGAATTTAGATAAGTATTTCAGTCGTATAGATAAACAGTGCATGGAGTATAATAACAACGAAAATCTATATATAAGATATATATATATGTATATATATATATATATATTTCAGGTTAGACCACGGATTAATATCAATTAAAGAACCATTGAAAACCAGGGAGTATTCGACAGCAGTTTTATCTTGGTTTTGGATTCAACGCCTGTGCGCCTCTGCCGAGTTTCGAACCCAGTACCACCTTCCGGTTGCAAGGCAGGCTTGCATACCACTCAGGCACTGGGACCTGATACAACAGCCCATGAATTCTAACTTCTACCAATTCGTGATGCATTTAGCACGACCACCAACCAATATCACCGGCGGGAACTTCATTCTCACTACCTACTGGATGTCCCCCACCGGTCACGACTTCTCATTTGAATTCCAGCCAACTTCGTCTTGTGGCCAGTTATTAGCTAGCATTAGAAGGGAAGGTCCTGGGTTCGAAACCCAGTGGATGTATACTGATGATAAGTCCCATATTAGGACTAAACAGCTATCCAGTACTTCTTGGTTTTCAGTGGTTCTTTAACTGATATTAATCTGTGGTGTAAGCTGAAACAGACAAAATCCCTACAATTAATTGTTATATATGTATATTAATGAACTGATTGAAGTACCATTTTGAGGTTAATCGATAGGTAAGTATTTTTAACATCTTTTTTGATGTACTTGACTGTGAAAATTGTTTAGTTCTCCTTGACCTTTGGCATTACTATGCTTAGGGGTGAAACTTTCAAGGTAAAATATCAAAGCTCAGATAGCATTAAACATTTTCCATTTTCACCAGCAAAGTTTCTCTATTATTTCATATTTACTTTTGTTTTAGTTTACTTGTGATTTTTTATTCAAATCATATGTGTATATGTATGTTCCTTTTATCCATTGGTAGTAAGCCTATCATGCTTTCTTATTGAAGCAGCTGAAAAGGCTTTTGAATGTGTTCTAACTTTTTTTTTATCTGTTAGTTCTTTTATAAATACGATGATGAAATTCACTGCCTTTTGTTCTCGCTTTACTTTTCAGGTGATGGAAATGCTACGGCTCTGTTGACAACTTCTTTATCTGGTGGTCTTTGTTCTATCGCCCAACCCTCTGCATCATTGTCATCTTCATCGAGTGCATTGGGTATTCAGTCAGACACACTTGTGAAGGCTAGTTCTTCTCCAACAATGTCATTTATGTTTCCAACAGTTCTTACGTCAACTTCACACGGTGATGCACTTAGACAAACGTCAGTTGCTTTTCTTACACCAACAGGTGAAATAGATAGATCATGTACTGCAACTTTAGCTACTGCTGGACCAGATGGAGGATTTATTTTAAATCCTGTTGGTGGAGATACTGTTTACTTGGAACCGGTAGGTTTTTCGTAAAGTCATTTTCTCTTTCATTTTTATTCCGAATGTTTAAATGTTAGGTGTCATTTTGCAAGAAACTCTCCAACACTCCTGAAATCTAATATTTAAGAAGTGGAATGTTGTCAAATATCCAGATCGCTGAGATCCTTGACCTATCTACCACTGGTTTCAAAAGATTAAGCTCAATAGATAGAAACACTATAACAACAAAAAACAGTTGGACAACATGATTATTTATTCTTCAATCGATAACGAAACAGATTTACAATGTTTAATCGGTGCTAAATTCTGTAAATAAACGTTAATATAATATGCGAAAATGCTTCTGGTTGTATTTCTTCAATCTTCTGCCAACCAGTACACAATTAAGCCATGACATCCTTCTTGTCTCCCGCCTAACGGAGACCAGCTCCAACCAACAAATTATTCAATGTTCACCAACATTGACAAATGCTACATACAATATTGTCACTTCACTTAGTGGTTACATTGCACACACCTGATCGATATATTTCGATTCACACACATAGGATTGAATGAATTAAGTGGTCACCCCCTAGGTGACTAATCCTTTTTACACCCAATTTAATCAATCGATTATGGGAGAATCGCTTGTTTATATTTACTGTATTCTTATAATAAACTGGCATATCATTCCAGCAGAGTTAAATTCATGCAGCTGTCTTTGCATTCGCCTCTTCAATCATCACCTACATTCTGTTGATTACAGTACAGTGTTTAAAATGAATTATTCTTAGAGTGCACAATGCAGTAAGTATATCATTAATACTTGAAATATGCGAACAACAAAGTAAATTACTTGAAAGCGTCACTCAACATCATCTCTTCTACATTATCATATGTGTAAAGACTTCTAGACTAGTAGGCTTCAATAAGATAAGAATTGTAGAAGAAAGTTCAGCTGTAAAACTGCGTGCAGTTACTCACAGCCATACAATAAAGTGTGACAACGTCATAGTCGTAAAATTCAGTGTGACTGGGTAGATGGAGAGATTGATCACTTCATTAGTCGATTCGAATCAACTGTGAATATGCAACATCTGTTCCAGACATCTGGAAAATTTTACTATCCTAACGACAAATAGGAATTAAGAAAGGCAACCATAAAAATAGACTTTCAAAGTTGTTTGGTGTGACAATTGATGATATGATTATGTTACAGGATTTCATCATGAGCTGACATTAGTTAGAGAACCATTGGAAAACCTTAATGGAGTACTGGATAGCCAGCTGTTTCATCCTGGTTTGAGACTCTTCATCGTTACGCACCCGCCGACACTGTTCGAACCCAGGACCTTCTGGTTACAAGGGGAGCTCGTATACCATTAAGCCACTGGGACCCGATCCAATGGCCAATCCATGAATTCTAACTTCTGTCAATTCACAATATAGCGCAACCTCTAGTCAATGTTTTCGGTGAGTATTTGTCCTCACACCCGACCTGCTGCACCCTACTGGTCACGACTTCCCACTGGAACCCCAGGTAACCCCCCAGATGGGATATGATTATGAATGGTAAACTGTGATTGAGACGTTATCCAGTAAATACTACTGTTTCACTGTGTTATATATCCGATAGATAAATAAATAAATATAGAGCTACATAATTACCCCAGTGTTCAAGTTCTACGCATATATATATTAAAGGGTTGGCGATAGTAATACTTTCACTATATGGCGGCTGGTGTAAACCGCATAAACTTTGATTAACGTCGGGTGTAAAGCAACATTAAATTTTATCTACAGAAATCAATTTAGTAATCGCATGTCTAACCTTGATAATTGATGCTTTAAAGTTCGTCAGAAATGTACTGCTTTGCTCAAGTGTCATATCACTAAGTATAGTGCAGGTGACATTGACTACATATAACTTTCATCGCGGTTTTCGAGAAAAACTTTTACGTTATTCAAATTGATCAAGGGAACTAATTGTGTGAAGTTTCTAAAACAAGGACTGCCTATTGTGCCACTGAAGTCACTGAATAATCGAGTGACGACTTGTTGCAAAATAGTATAAGAAATATGTTGGCTGAAATTTTACGAAAGCCGTCTGAATTCTGTATGTTTTCCACGTCAACTTTTCGAAGAATTATGGTTACAAAAATTGCTACCCACCTTCAGAAATCTCTGACATATAACTTCTTAAGTCTCACAGAAGCAGCGACGAATATAATCGAAAAATTACAAAGAAACGCTGTGTGGTTTGAAAAGTTTGTAAATAAATTAGGAAATTTATCTAGTCAAATTCACTAATTTCCTACAAGATGCTCAGAAAAAAAAACTAGTCAGATGTTCTCAAAATCGTTTGTCACGGAACATATCTACGGAGAATTTCCAGAAAATTTAGATTTGTCTTCAATTCAACTAAACCGGTTTCAAAGAGCTCCAAAGAAGATCTTCGGCAGAATAGTTACGGGCTTTCAGTTCGGGAATTTATTTCATCAGTTCAGTGATTTCTAGCCTGCTGACGGAGACAAAAAAAGGATGGTTAAAATCTTAATTGGTTGATATTTGCTAACCAGTACTGTGTATCTTTAATCTAAAGTCCTCTCTCATTAACAAGAATTAATCTTAGGAGAATTAAGAAACGAGACAAATATTGTTATTCTTCGACCCGATCAAGGGTTTAGGTGTGATCATGGTGAATGCAAAAGATGACATCTCTAAGGTGAGTCAAGTACTCCATGGCATCTCACGACGATCGCAATGAAGATATGACAGAAGAAATTGAGAGGCTAATCACAAAGGTGCTTGGGCAACTTAGACCGAAAAAATCCCAACTTTTTGCATTAACAACCAAAAGTACATAAAGATAAGATGCCAATGCAACAACCTATGCTGTCTGTCGTCAATCCTCCTCACCACAAACTTTCTCTTTGGTTGGCGCAAAAGCTAGGGAATTTTTGGGCAAAGTTATCGACTCGTTTGATTTTGTGAAAAGAATACGACAACTTGATGTGCATCCAAAAATTTTATGAGCATTCCCCTCCAGGAAATAAATGTTATCTGTCAATACACAGAGGATAACTCATTATACTGAAGGCTGATATCAGACATCTCTTGCACTAACGATGTTCAATTCAAATTTAAAAGCGTGCTATATGGACAAGTGGATGATGGAGTGGCAATGGGGAGTCCACTGTGCTCCGAAGAAACATCAGGAAACAAAGTCAATCTCATCAATTAATGTCTAAGAAACAATAGATGTCTAAAAAGATTCCCAGAGAATTACTGTAAACGTAATATAAACAAGGCAGAGTACAGTACTGTCGAAAAGAAACTAGTGTTTGTTAAATTGGGATTTAAGGTTGATGGGATTGAAGAAAGAATTGCCAGGTGAATGAAAGACGTAATATCAAAAACTTATGTAGCCACCAAGCCGGTCCTCTTGTGTAAAACTATCAGTTTGATTGCACAGTCGAAACTAGACCGACTCTTGTTAACTCCTTGTTAATTCTTCATTGATGATTAAACAATCTGGTAAGTATATATGGGGCTACTGCCTTCTGATAATTGATGTTTTAAGAATCATTCATTGGGAACTTCTTGAAGTTTTTCATAATGACGCTCATATTTCTACTGGTTATCACCGAACTGTTTGCTCGCATCTCATCCCCGCCGACAACTGCTACCTTGCCGTGATGGTCGGGCTTGAATACCACAGTGACCCCCAACAAGCTAAACTGGCTGGGACTCATCTCCCTGCAGGTCCTACCATGTCAGGAAGGTTGTTTGGACTAAAAGCAGTTACCATGGGGTACATGGGCTTCAGAATACAATCGGATCAAATGGCGTATGAACCCGTATGGGTCACCGGTAACCATGGGAATGCAGCTCCTGACGCTGCTCCTCTGCCTTGCGAACTAAACTCCAAGTCAAAGGCTCGGGGGGTGGTCCCTTAAGAAAACCACCTGCTTCGGTCTGGGCGCCCGGGAAGTATCTCAGCCCTCACACAACAAATGAAATTTTGTGTGGCGCATCTTTCTTGGTGCCATATTGTACCAAGTTTTATTTTTATGCGTTTAAATAAATAAATAAATAAAAATCACATCTCATGCATAATTTATTCGCCTTATCATTTTATTCACTTCTTATTTCTCATTATATGTTGGGGGGGGGTGTAGCATATCTTGTGAAATGTTCAATGTTGACTTTTCTTTTTGTAGTATGTAAATATGAGAGGCCACATTAAAGCTATTCAGTATTACTTTGTAGAATCCGTCTAGTTAAAGATGATTTCAACAGATATATCAGTATTACAGCTGATTTTCATTTATTTACTAGATTATTTGTAGCAGTCTAGCATCACAGTAGTAGTGGTAGTAGTAGTAGCAGCAATACAAGGCGTAATCATTGAAAATTGTTAGTCTGTGTTATATATTGTAGAGTTTTGATGATGATGATGCCATAGCGTATAAACTGTCATGACTAAAAGTACTTACTGTTAAAAAGCAATAAATGTGACTTATTTAAATTTAGATTTTATTTCACAGCTACCTAACCTAAGACTAGTTATTGTACCATTTGTTTAATCATTTTTCATTTCAGAGTAACAACAGAACCAAACTGTTATATTAAAAAAATAGTTTTTTTTTGTAGCGCACATATTGTTTCTATATTTATGAAAAATTTTTTTTCTAATATCACGGAGCTTATACATGAGTTGACAAAGAAGAACAACACATCAATTGAAACTTTAAATTATGTATAATGGACATTAGAAATGACAGAAATTAGATATTTTTGAATGCTGTAAGCTCTCTGTAGTTTATTTTGTAATATTTTTTAAGGTATACTTCCTTGTGTGTATATATGCATAAGCTTTTTGTTGTGAAGATGTGATCCCTTGACTTGAAGACTGCATTTTAATCAATGGGGCTTAGTCTAAGTTCTGCTCCTCCTACTGTGATCTGGGCAAACTGGGCAGTATCACAAGTCTTCCCTCAATAAATGTGTCGTGTAGCATGGTACGTAGGAAATTTCTTCCAGCTAACCGATTTCTAACAAGCTAACTTCCAGCTGGTAAATTTCTCATCATAATGAGTTTATTAATATTTCCTCTTTTTCCAGTTGGATCCTAGGTTAACTCTTGAGCCTGGCCAACAGTTTACACTCACGACAATTCCAACCTCCCATCCACATGGTTCCACAACTATCATTAATCCGCATCACTCAGCAGCACAATTAATGGGACATCAAGTTCATTTACAGTCGGGGCAAGCAACGCATATTGCTTTTACGACAAATCTACCGACTCATGGTCAGCAGACATCACAGCTATTATCTCCTAATTCCTCTATATTCTCATCAAATACAGCATCGAATCAGGCAGCACTTCATAGTGGTCACTCGTCAACAACAGTGATTTTCCCTCCTCCTGCTTCTGTTCCTCATTCAAGTTTACCTAGTCAACAACAATCCGTACTGCAGTCTCCTACCGAAGCAACTGCTCCTTCCCAGCTTTTACATTATCATAGACCGGTGTGTACTACAGGCGTTTTACCAGGTCGTCCATCGTCTACTCCTACGCAACAGCAGACAGCAATGCTTGTACCAATAGTTCACACTCCTCCTGTTAGTGGAACATCCAGTCAACCGATCTCCACATCAGAAGCAAATGATTCTATAAACTCAAATCCTGTAACATCAACTTGGCCTGTTAGTGGCACATTTCTAACATTTGCCTCATCACATCTTTGTCCTGTTGCCTCTACCACTGTCTTAGAAGATCATACAGATTCTTGTAATCTTGCAAACTCTCGTCCATCCTCTGTCTTGTCTAATTCATCATCTCTCGGTGCTATCACAGCCGTATCAGTACCAGAAACAAGCTTGTAACTCCCTGTCCTGTCCCATCCCCCACCCGTCGCCCTCTGACTTTCGTCAGTCACAGAATTATGTTCATAAATTTAATTACCCCAATTTTCCTCTGTACTTTTTACTCGAGTTATGATATGATTGTTTTCATACTTTGATATTTTTTTTTTCTCCTTCGTAGTCAAAGGTTAAAACACGACAAACGTGTAACATCAGAGAAACTGCTTGCTTCATTTAGCAGTGTTTAAAAATCCTTCTTGTCATCTGTGTGCTTGTGTTCGCTTCTTGACTTGTTTTTTCCTTCTTATTTTGAATAATCTCATCGTAATGTGTACAAATTTTTTTTTTCATATTGTCCATGTATGCGCTTACCTTTGTTTCACGTAATTTTTAATAGTACCGTTTACCATTATTACTTTTATTATTGTTAATATTACCGATAATAGTACTGGCAGAAGTATTCTACAGGCTTCTGCTATTACTTTATTATTATAACACTATTAATATTAATAATATGATTATTTTGACCAGTTTATTATCTGTTTGAATTCCTCCTTATTATTTTTTCTTCTTGTCTCTCTGTATATGTACCAGTTGATTAATATTTGTGATCATTTTAATAATAATAATAATGACGAAAAGTATTGTATATTTGACCTATTTTATTAATACCTCATAAATGATAAAATCATCACCATGACGAATAATATTTAATATTATTATTACTGACTTTTTTTTCTTTTTTGTATCCTAATATCCATTTATAATTATGACCACTGACGGTATGTGTTGCATAACTAACCGATTTTTTTGGGGGGGGGGGCGTTCATGCTTGTTTATGGATAAGTTGAACCATTCATTATGTTATCTTTATGAAGTACATATATATTGATTTTTAGTGATTTCATCATTGCTTTTAGTGTACACACTGAACTAATAATAATAATGATAATAATAATATATCCATATTTTGTTTTGTTTATTTTTGTCGTTTATTTTGACAATTTTTCGTTTTTTTTTCAATATTAACTTTGTTGTTGTCTGTTTCCTTTGCTTTTTTCCCTCATTCCCTCCCTCGCTCCCTCCCTCCCTGGCTGTCTATTGTTTCATTGGACAACTGTGAAGTATAATCATTGTGTCACTTCCATACTCTTCCATTCTCTTCTTTTATATATATATATATATATATATATATATATATATATATATATATGATCTCTGATTGATCTCCTTTTATTACATATATACATATATATTACTCATAAAAGCTTACTTTTCCTACTCAATGAACACGTGTACAGTCTGTTTTCTTCCTTTCTTTATTATTATTTTTTCTTAAGGAGAAGTTTCATTGGGAAGGAGGGCTACTGCAACACAATTGCAATTACACTATTACATATTTTCTTTTGATTTCTATTGTCAGTTTCATTAAATGTTATTTTATATTTGGGAAATGTTATTTTGTGTTTCGATATATATATATATATATATATATATATATATATATATATATATATATATATATATATATATATAGTGTATATGTTTAGGTTTCCTGATAAGTATTCAGTGTCCTACTTTGTCTATACATAAATATATATACCTATTTGCTATTTGATTACTACTACTACTACTGAATACCCTGTGTACACGATAAAATGTGAACTCTAGTTTTTCAGTTCTTTCATCATTGATTAAATCACTCCGTATAGGTAGCTAGCTAGCTAGTAAGTGTGATGTTTTCAGAGAAATGGTGGTGGTAGTCAACTGCAATACATTTTACTATTGAGAAAGAAAGAAAAAAGACTCTAGTATTTCATTTTTAGACGTCCTTATGATCAGAAAAAAGAGGATGGCACAATAAGAAGAAGTGTTTATATAGCAAAACCTATATATCAACAACGGGCCAGTACACACATTTTCTCCGCTTTGTTTGTGCGCTTGAAATATACAAACGCAATCTGATAAAGTGGTTGGTCGTCCACAGAGCAAGAACGATTTGCTCGGACGAATGTCTTAACAATATTAAACGGTTGGTAAGTGAAAATGGTTATCCTGAAAAGTTTATTGATAAGAATATGAATTTGAAAGCAAAGCAATCGAAGGTACCAACAGTTTTAAAAAAGGCCTTATCCTTATAGATGCAGATGCAGTTCCTTGGGGACAACACCACCGAGATATTAACACAGCGCTTTAGAAATGAGGCGGTAAAAAGAGCATTCCCTGCTGCTGAATTACGCTGTATCTTTAAAACCACTCCTCTTCTGCGTTGGGAAGTAAAAGACAAACTGCCTCTTCCATGTGTGTCTACCAATTGAACTGCTTCTGTGGAGTGAGCCAGTTACATAAGCCGTGCAATTAGGCGTGTTTCTCGTTGAATTTCCGAACATCACCCTGCGTGGTTAAGCAAAGGAAAAGAAATCTATTCGTAGCTCTATTCTGTCTCATCCTGTGGATACAGAACACAAGACTGACGTTAACCATGCGCTTCCAGGGTCATTTACCGCATACCTACGAATCTCAATTTTGCCTTAAGAGTTCAACTACTAAATATTACTGAGGCTGGGGCTGTTGGGAACCATATTAACAAGCCTAATTTATTCATCCAAAAGAAGTTATTTAAGACACTGTCATTACCCTGGCCATCTAGGTTTGAATGATCCTGAATTTTTGTGGAATTTTCCTAATTTTAGTTGATATGCTATTCGCTATTATATCTTTATTATTATTATTATAATTTAAGTATCTTTAGTGAACTGTAATTGCATTGATCATATTTTACAAGTCGATATTATTTAAAAAGCCCTTATATTGTTATTAACTACTAATCGAGAATATTTTGTGTGTATAAACATGTACATAATTGTAGAGCTGGAAGAGGAATTTATCGAAATGAATATTCTTTGCTCGACTACTTTGTGCTTTATAACTGTGAAATTGTTAACTTCTGAGCTAACGCTAACAGTGCTAAAAAATGAAATGAAATTTTTAAGAGCTGTGCATCGGTGGCACAGTGGTTAGGACTCTCGCTGACCATGTACATGGTCCAGGGTTCGAGCCCTCGCCGACGCACACCTGATATCTATGGTTAGCCTGTGAAATTTGGGCTGCCGATATCCACGCTGAAAATTCCATACTTGTACCAAAAATACAGTGTGGAATCAAGCCGTAATAAAAAAAAACTATCTCATGATGATAATAATAATAATAATTGCTTTATTCCAAAAACAGTACTCATGATACAGCAAGGAATTTTCAGCATTCAGTACAATATTGCATCTAATTTACCCAAAAACGACAAAAAAAAATTAAAAATACACAATACATAATAGTAATAAAACGATTGTTGTAGCAGCTACGTAGCAAAATACTGTGTGCCATACGGAGAAAAATATGTATAAAGTACAAAATTGTAGTAATAATAGTAATACCAACTAATATAAAATAGCAGAGTAACGATTTAAACGATAGAAAGTGTAACACCATAAAATACAGAAAGATGAACGATAAAAGGGTCGATTCACTGTGCTAATTACATAGTAACTTGTAAGTTTCACGTCTAACAGAGTCTTCGTCACATAAAGTACGCGCTAAATAGGGTATTGTAGAATTTCTATACTTAGTAGTACGAGCATATATCTTTTTATATTGACTTCTCGTCCTACCTGATGAGATACAAGGGGACAGGTGTGAATAAAGGGGGTGCAGAGGGTCTGACATTATAGCCTTTGCCCATTTCGTACAGGAATTTATATGCCTCTCGACTATAGTATTAGCGAGCTCATGCAGTGGCAGACCACAAGCTCTACTCACAGCATTTAATACTCTTCGTAATATGATATAATCTTTTTTGAGAAGCCCAGGAAAGATTAATGGAGAGCAGTAGAGTACAATAGGTAAAATACAGGAGTTTAAAAATTGCAAAACTAAAGGTTGGTTGATACCTGATTGTCTTAACTTTTTAATGTAGAAGGTAAGACGAAACATTTTCTTAGAGATAGATAAGATATGGGATGACCATGAAAGGTCAGAGGAAAAAACTAGTCCAAGGTATTTAATACTTGATTTGGTTTCAATTTCCGTGCCATCTATGCTACAGGGATCATGAGAGTTAACTAGTTCAAGTAAGTCACGTCGATGCTTGAAAGTAAAGTCAAGCACCTGACATTTGGAAGGATTTAATATAAGACCATTTGACTTGGACCAGTTGTTGATGTCCAACAGAAAGCTATTAAGTTTGGAGCTGTCAGACTCGGAAGTGATAGGCAGTGATACAGTCAGATCATCTGCATATTTGACAAAGTTAGTTTCGTTTGAATGAGGTAGGTCATGTAGGAAGAAAGAAAAAAGAAAAGGAGAGAGGACAGCACCTTGTGGAACACCGGATTTTGTAAGCGAGGTAGAAGAAGATTTGCCGTTATATACAGTATACTGCATTCTATCAGAAAAATAGGAATGCAACCAACTCTTAGCCCAGGATCCTGTTTGTGTCAATGATAGCTTATTTAATAAAAGGCCCCTAGGTACAGAGTCAAAAGCAGATGTGTAGTCTAAGAAAGCACTACGAACATATTTAGCACCTTTGTCTAAACAAGAGACAACATTGTGATACAAGACAACCGCAGCATCCAAGGTACTTCTACCATGTTTGTATGCAAATTGTTTAGGATCATTAAAAGGTTTCAAAGCGGGTTCAAGACGAAGTAAAAGTAATTTTTCCATCAATTTTAAAAAGGGGGAAGTAATTGCAATAGGCCGAAATTTAATATCAGAACCAGAAGATGGTTTTGGTATAGGGATAATTTTAATGTTTTTCCATGCAAAAGGTAGAACGTTACCGGAAAAAGAGGCATTAAAAATGTTAGTAAGAGGATAACACAAAATATCAGCACAATTCCTGAGGACAATGGCAGGTATGCCGTCAGGACCAAGGCTTTGAGAAGGCTTAAGAGACCGGAGACATTTAAGCACATCAAGGGTATTAAAACCACTAAAGTTATTGTCAATATGATTTGTATCAT